ATCTCTACCAAAGAAAAAATGAGCTGGGTGTGGTGGCTTGTACCTATAGTCCCAGGTACTTGGGAGGCTGAGTAGGGAGGATCACATGAGCCCAGGAGGTTGAGGTTACAGTGATCCAGGTTTGCACCACTGCAGTCCAGCCTGAGTGACAGAGCGAGCAAGACCTTGTCTTAAAAAAAAAAAAAAAAAAAAAAAATTGTATGAGTTTCTGTTTTCTTTTCTTTCTTTCTTTTTCCTATTTTTGAGACGAGGTAGAGTTTTGTTCTTGTTTTCCAGGCTAGAGTCAATGACGTGATCTCGGCTCACTGCAACCTCTGTCTCAAGTTAAAGCGATTCCCCTGCCTTAGCTTCCCAAGTAGCTGGGACTACAGGTGTGTACCAACACCCCTGGCTAATTTTTGTTTTTAGTAGAGACGGGGTTTCACTATGTTGGCCAGGATGGTGTCTCTTGACCTCATGATCTGCCCACCTCAGCTTCCCAAAGTGTTGGGATTACAGGGGTGAGCCACAGTGCCCGGCATTCCTTTTTTCCTTTCTTCTTTTCTTTTTTTTTTTTTGAGACGGAGTTTGCTCTTGTTACCCAGGCTGGAGTGCAATGGCGCGATCTCGGCTCACCGCAACCCAGCCTTTCTTTTCTTTTCTTTTTTTTTTAAGAGACAGGTTCTTCTGGCCAGGCACAGTGGCTTAAGCCTGTAATCCCAGCACTTTGGGAGGCTGAGGCGGGTGGATTACGAGGTCAAGAGATCGAGACCATCCTGGTGAACATGGTGAAACCCTGTCTCTACTAAAAATATAAAACAAATTAGCTGGGTATGGTGGCATGTGCCTGTAATCCCAGCTACTCGGGAGGCTGAGGCAGGAGAATTGCCTGAACCCAGGAGGCGGAAGTTGCGGTGAGCCGAGATCGCGCCATTACACTCCAGCCTGGGTGACAAGAGTGAAACTCCATCTCAAAAAAAAAAAAAAAAGAGACAGGTTCTTGCTCTGTCACTCAGGCTGGAATACAGTGGCACAATCATAGCTCACTACAGTCTCAACCTCCTGTGTTCAAGCGATTCTCCCACCTCAGTCTCTACAGTAGCCAGGATTGTAGACATCAGCCACCTCATCTGGCTGTGTATGAGTTTTAATGTGAGGTCCATGTGGTACAATTTTGCATCCTGCCTTTTTAGGTATTTATATATTGCAAGCAAATTATTTATAAAATGTGCTGCTATTGCACATTAGATATGAGTACTCCTATGATTTTTTTGCCACATTCATTTATTGCAAAGTATTTTTGGTAAGAGGCTGGCATTCTTCTGGCAGTGCTCTGGCATTGCTTGGGCAGTGTAGGCTGTGAAGATCCAAAGTTTAGGGCCAGATGCAGGTGGCTCATGCCTGTAATCCCATAATCCCAGCACTTTGGGAGGCCCAGGTGGGAGGAATGCTTGAGCCCAGGAGTTTGAGAGCAGCCTAGGCAACATAGATCCTGTCTCTGAAAACAAAAAACAACTGGACGTGCTGATGCACACCTGTGGTTCCAGCTACTCCAGAGAGAGAGGCAGGAGGATCGTTAGAGCCCAGGAGTTTGAGGCTGCAGTGAGTTATGTATGGTAGTGCCACTGTACTCCAGCCTGGGCAACAGAATGAGACCCTGTCTAAAAACAAATTTTTTTTTTTTTGAGACGGAGTTTCACTCTTGTCACCCAGGCTGGAGTGCAATGGCGCGATCTCGGCTCACCGCAACCTCCGCCTCCTGGGTTCAGGCAATTCTCCTGCCTCAGCCTCCCGAGTAGCTGGGATTACAGGCCCTCGTCACCACGCCCAGCTAATTTTTGTATTTTTAGTAGAGATGGGGTTTCACCATGTTGACCAGGATGGTCTCGATCTCTTGACCTTGTGATCCACCTGCCTCGGCCTCCCAAAGTGCTGGGATTATAGGCGTGAGCCACCGCGCCCAGCCTAAAAACAAATTTTAAAAAGTTTAAAGTTTAGTGGGAGGAAGGAGTTAGGCTGGGGTTAGTCTGCTGTAGGGAGGTAACCTCAAGTGCCCTTAGAGCTCAGAGAGGCTACATGTCCGTCAGAACTAGCACTAGCTCCTCTGATTGCATTTAGGACTCTGCAGATTAATTACCTCAGGGATGCCAGGAAGTGTTCTTTCTTTTCCCCCCAAGACAGAGTCTTGCTGTGTCACCCAGGCTGGAGTGCAGTGGCTTGATCTCAGCTCACTGCAACTTCCACCTCTTGCCTGTAATTCAAGCAATTCTGCTGCTGCCTCAGCCTCCGGAGTAGCTAGCATTACAGGCATCCGCCACTGTGCCTGGCTGATTTTTGTATTTTTTTTTTTTTTGAGACGGAGTTTCACTTCTGTTACCCAGGCTGGAGTGCAATGGCGCGATCTCGGCTCACCACAACCTCCGCCTCCTGGATTCAGGCAATTCTCCTGCCTCAGCCTCCTGAGTAGCTGGGATTACAGGCTCACGCCACCATGCCCACCTAATTTTTTGCATTTTTAGTAGAGATGGGGTTTCACCATGTTGACCAGGATGGTCTCGATCTCTTGACCTCGTGATCCACCCTCCTCGGCCTCCCAAAGTGCTGGGATTACAGGCTTGAGCCACCGTGTCCAGCCGATTTTTGTATTTTTAGTAGAGATGGGGTTTCACTTTGTTGGCCAGGTTGGTCTCGAACTCCTGACCTTGCGATCCGCCCACTTGGACTTCCCAAAGTGTTGAGATTACAGGCGTGAACCACTGCACCCGGTCGGAAGTGTTCTTTTATGGGAGCTACTTTTCTTGTAAATATCCTAATCCAATATACCTTTTTTTTTCTCAAAAGGAAATTAGCTTTATAGTTTGGTTTTGATCATAAAGATAAATTTGATTCATTAGAGCACAAGAATGCAAGATAGGACTGAGGAGAGATTCAAATTGTGACTTAAGATTCAAAGGCAATGAAAAGAGTTAAATGAGAATGTTTTGTACTCTTTTATTGTTCTATGATTAAAAAAAATAGAAAATCTGGATAAAATGTATAGAAAAATACAAATGGTCAGAATGGACTCAAGAAGTAGGAAATAGGCTGGGTATGTGGCTCATGCCTGTAATCCCAACACTTACAAAGCCTGTAATCTTTGGGAGGCTGAGGCGGGCAGATCATTTGAGGTCAGGAGTTCGAGACCAGCCTGAGCAACATGGAGAATCCTGTCTCTACTAAAAATACAAAATTATCTGGACATGGTGGTGTACGCCTGTAATCCCAGCTATGTGGGAGGCTGAGGCAGGAGAAACACTTGAACCTGGGAGGCAGAGGTTGTAGTGAGCTGAGATTGTGCCATCGTACTATAGCCTGGGCAACAAAAACGAAACTGTCTTAAAAAAAAATTAGGAAATATAGCTGGGCATGGTGGCGCATACCCAATGGAATCCCAGCTGCTCCAGAGGCTGAGGCAAGAGAATTGCTTGAACCCGAGAGGTGGAGGTTGCAGTGAGCTGAGATTGCACCATTGCACTACAACCTGGGTGACAAGAGCAAGGCTTCTCAAAAAAACAAACAAACAAGGCCGGGTGCAGTGGCTTACGCTTGTAATCCCAGCACTTTGGGAGGCCGAGGTGGGCGGATCACCAGGTCAAGAGATCGAGACCATCCTGGCCAACATGGTGAAACCCTGTCTCTACTAAAAATACAAAAAAATTAGCTAGCCATGGTGGCGTGCACCTATATTCCCAGCTACTCGGGAGGCTGAGGCAGATGAATTGCTTGAACCCAGGAGGCAGAGGTTGCAGTGAGTCAAGGTTGAACCACTGCACTCCAGCCTGGTGCGTGGTGACAGAGTGAGACTCTGTCTCAAAAAAAAAACAAAAAAACAAAAAAAACCCAAACAAACGAAAAAAGAAATAGGAAATATACATAGATCAAAGAAAGTATAAACAAGGCCAGGCGCAGTGGCTCATTCCTGTAATACTAGCACTTTGGGAGGCTGAAGTAGGCGGATTACTTGACGTTAGGAGTTTCAGACCAGTCTGGTCAACATGGTGAAACCCTGACTCTATTAAAAATAAAAAAATTCCTGAGATGTTTAATTGGAAAAATTACAAGAAAAAATTAGCTGGGCGTGGTGCTAGGCACCTGTAGTCCCAGTTACTCAGGAGGCTGAGGCTCCAGAATTGCTTGAACCCAGAAGGTGGTGGATGCAGGGAGCTGAGATCGTGCTATTGCACTTCAGCCTGGGTGACAGAGTGAAGTTGTCTCAAAAAACAAAGTATAAACAGACCTTGTCCAGCCTTCCAAAAGTAGGGCCAAGTATTAGTATCTCAGCTTTTGTTTACTTCGTTTTTAATTTTTTAAAGAGATGAGGGCTCTTGATTTTCAGTAGCCATGAAAACCAAAAATAAAAAAAGAGAAAAGGGCTTGCTGTGTTTCCCAGGCTGGTCTCAAACTCCTGAGCTCAAGAATCCTCTTGGCTCAGCCTTCCAAGTAGCTGGGACTATAGGTGTACACCACCCTGCCTGACATTTGTTTGCTTCCTTTGTAACTCTTAAATTCATTGCAATTACAGTTTGCAGTTATTTTATTTATCAATTTACTGTCTAAATTTTTGTGTTTCCCGGGTAGACTGAAGGGTTCTTGAGGGCAGGAACTGTGTCTCTTTTGGCTTTAACTGTTTCCTTAAATAGCCACTGAGCAAATATTTGTTGAATAATACATCAGCAGGTGACTGACTTTAACTGTGAAAGTAGCTGTCTTTTTGTAGTTCTGAGGGGTGGCCCTTGTAGGTGATTCTTCAGTAAGCAGTGTTGAGGGGGGGTCTTCTCAGTCCCAGAAACCACAGGATGCTGCACAGCGGAGGAGAAGGAACCAGTGGAAAGCACACCTGTGTTAGAGTGAGGGCACCGACAGGGTTTCGTGGGGCTTTGTGTGCTGAATGATGCCTGTTTGTTTCTTTATGTGTAGTGAATGATGCTACACTCTGGGCAGACTTTGCCTAAGTTTCATAAATATTTAATTGGCTTTTTCAGGAGAATAAAGGCAGCCCCGTTGATGACTGAAAATGACAAAGCATCCACCTAACAGACGAGGAATCAGCTTTGAAGTGGGAGCCCAGTTGGAAGCCCGGGACCGTTTAAAAAACTGGTACTTTTACATTTTTCTGCTAATTAAAGCCCTTCAGTAAAGGACTTTTGCCAGCACTTATAGAGTGATAGCTTAGACTTTTTGTGGTGTTTTCCTACTCCCTGACTCCTGTAAGATGGGAGGAAACCCCAGTCTTTTCTCTGTGGTGCAGGGATCCCGATGTCATGGTGACTGTCCTGTAACCCTTTGTTCATACTTGTTTCCCCTTTTTGCCTGTTTAATTGAAGGAGTTCTGGGAAAAAGAAGCATGAATGGCTACAGGGAAGGGAAGAGGTAGGGAAGAGTTAATAGTGGCAGCTCTCTTGCTCTTGGCTGCCTGTCTGAAAAAAAGAGAGAAAGATCAGGGATGAAATAGTGAAGCAGCTCATGTGTTGTGAACACCCCATCCTGTTTTCTGGGCGTGATGTTGTATGTTGAAATACAGTGATCACATAAGGGCACATTGTCAGGATGATTAGGTTCAGAAGCTGAAGGGTTACGGTCCCAACTGTGTCATTGACTTGTGACCTCTGGCTGATAATTAGCTGCTTTGTGCATTGGCTTATCTGTAAATGTGGGTATTGGTCATATTGACCTCATAGGGTTATTCTGAGAATCAAATCATAGACTGTGTAGGGAAAGACCTTAAAGACTGTGAAATGATCATTGTGATTGAGGGCATCCTAGAATTTGGTTCTTTGTTAGTGCTTAAGGTGAGGGTTGGGGTTTTCAGAACTTGTGCCTCTTTATAGTTTTTTTTTTTTTTTTTTTTTTTTTTAAGACAGAGTCTCGGGCCGGGCGCGGTGGCTCATGCCTGTAATCCCAGCACTTTGGGAGGCCGAGGCGGGTGGACCACGAGGTCAAGAGATCGAGACCATCCTGGTCAACATGGTGAAACCCCGTCTCTACTAAAAATACAAAAAATTAGCTGGGCATGGTGGCGCGTGCCTGTAGTCGCAGCTACTCGGGAGGCTGAGGCACGAGAATTTGCCTAAACCCAGGAGGCGGAGGTTGCCGTGAGCCGAGATTGCGCCATTACACTCCAGCCTGGGTGACAAGAGTGAAACTCTGTCTCAAAAAAAAAAAAAGACAGAGTCTCTCTCTGTCACCCAGGCAGGAGTGCAGTGGTGTGATGTCTGCTCACTGCAAGCTCTGCCTCCTGGCTTCAAGTGATTCTCGTGCCTCAGCCTTCTGGGTAGCTGGTATTGCAGATGTGTGCCACCACATCTGGCTAATTCCTTTTTGAGTTAAAGAAGGAAGAGTTTAACCCTTTGTGAGATTATTTCAAAACAGACCGATTGAGCAGCTCTTCAGGTATAGGAGTCTAAGACAGGAGAAGAGAGGCAGGGAAACAGTTGCTACACAAAACTGCCTTTGCTATTAGAATTAGGTACACTTGGACAGGCATGGTGGCTCACACCTGTAATCCCATCACTCCAGCACTTTGGGAGGCTGAGGCAGGTGCATCACCTCAGGTCATGAGTTCGAGAACAGCATGACCAACATGGTGAAACCCTGTCTAATTAGCCGAGTGAGGAGGCACACACCTATAATCCCAGCTCTACTTAGGAAGCTGAGGCAGGAGAAATGCTTGAACCTAGGAGGTGAAGGTTGCAGTGAGCTGAGATTGCACCATTGCACTCTAGCCTGGGGGACAAGAGTGAGACTTCATCTCAAAAAAAAAAGAAAAATAATTAGGTATACTTGTTGGCTGGGCTCAGTGGCTCATTCCTGTAATCCCAGCACTTTGGGAGGCCAGGGCAGGTGGATCACGAGGTCAGGATTTGAAGACCAGCCTAATCAACATAGTGAAACCCTGTCTCTATTAAAAATATAAAAATTAGCCAGGCATGGTGGCATGTGCCTATAGTCCCAGCTACTCAGGAGGCTGAGGCAGGAGAATCACTTGAACCTGGGAGGCGGAGGCTGCAGTGAGCTGAGATCATGCCACTGTACTCCAGCCTGGTCAACTGAGCTAGACTCTGTACATTTTCAACACAGTTGTTTTGGGCTATTTTTTTTGTTTCTGTGAGACAAAAGTCTTGCTTTTTTGTCCTGGCTGGAATGCAGTGGTGTGATCTCGGCTCACAGCAGCCTCTGCCTCCCGGGTTCAAGCCATTCTCCTGCCTCAGCCTCCCTAATAGCTGGGATTACAGGCACCTGCCACCACACCTGGCCAATTTTTTATATTTTTAGTAGAGATGGGGTTTCACCATGTTGGCCAGGCTGGTCTGGAACCCCTGACCTCAAGTGATCTGCCTGCCTTGGCCTCCCAAAGTGCTGGTATTACAGGCATGAGCCAGTGTGCCCAGCCTGTTTTTGGGCTATTTGTATTATCTATAATTAGTTCCTTTTTTGGTTTCAGTATTTTATGTTCATGTGTTTAATACTTTATGCGTATGTGTATCCATTAGTAATACAATTGCTTTGGGTGTTTTAAACCTTTTTTTTTTTTTTTAATAAAAAAATATGGAACGCTTCATGAATTCGTGTATCATCCTTGTGCAGGGGCCATGCTAATCTTCTCTGTATCATTCCAATTAAACCTTTTTTATAAGTAGTATCTTTGAGAATGCTGGGAGAGGGAAAGAAAAAGAAAAAAGTTAAACCAATTATATAAATAGTATCATATAACTTGTTTCTTTTCTGTGTCTTTTTTATGTTCAGTATGTTTATGTGATTTACCCATATTGTTACATACAATATTCTCCTAACCACCGCCTCCCAAGCCCCCACTAAGATAGCGTTTTACTCTGTTGCTCAGGCTAGAGTGTAATGGCACAATCATAGTTCACTGTGGTCTCCAACTCCTGGGCTCATGTGATCCTCCTGCCTCAGCCCTCCATGTAGCTGAGACTAGATCTTAACTTCTGTATAGAGTTTTATACAGAGGTATAGATGTGAGCCACCACGCCCGGCCTGTTTGTTTATTTTTTATATATTATTGGAGTCTTAGATTCCAGTATTTCACCTGAGACACAGCGCTGCTGTGAATGTCTCTTTGTGCACATACGAAACACTCTTAATTGGGCAGTGGCTTTTAAACGTTTTTGACCGCAACCTCCAGTAAGAAATGTATTTTAAATCAATATTGCTGGGTATGGTGGCTCATGCCTGTAATCCCAGCTACTCAGGAGGCTGAGGCAGGAGAATCGCTTGAACCCGAGAGGCAGAGGTTGCAGTGAGCTGAGATCACACCACTGCACTCCAGCATGGGTGACAGAGCAAGACTCTGTCTCAAAAAAAAAAAAAAAGTCCAGTGTGGTATATGTACCCATATACACATAAAAATCTATTTTTAGTTTTAGTTTTTTTTTTTTTTTTAATTTTGAGATGCAGTTTCGCTCTTGTTGCCCAGGCTGGAGTGCAGTGGAGTGATCTTGGCTCACCACAACCTCCGACTCCTGGGTTTAGGCAATTCTCATGCCTCAGCCTCCTGAGTAGCTGGGATTACAGGCACGCACCATCATGCCCAGCTAATTTTTTGTATTTTTAGTAGAGATGGAGTTTCACCATGTTGACCAGGATGGTCTCGATCTCTTGACCTCATGATCCACCCGCCTCAGCCTCCCAGAGTGCTGGGATTACAGGCATGAGCCACCGTGCCCGGCTAATTTTAGTTTTTTGAGATGGTGTCTCACTTTGTTGCCCAGGCTAGAGTGCAGGGGCGCGATCTTGGCTCTCTGCAACCTCTGCCTCCCAGGTTCAAGAGATTTTTTTGCTTCAGCCTCCCAAGTAGTTGGAATTACAGTTGTGAGACACCATGCCTGGCTAATTTTTTTTATAGTTTAAGTAGAGCTGGGGTTTTTTGGCCAGGCTGGTCTTGAACTCCTGACTTCAGGTAATCTACCCAACTTGGCCTCCCAAAGTGCTGGGACATAGGCCTCAGCCACTGCGCCTGGCCTATTTTTATTTTTTGAGACAAGATCTCACTCTGTTGCTCAGGTTGGAGTGCCGTGGTGGGAACACAGCTCACTGCAGCCTCTACCTACCTCCCTGAGCTAAAGCAGTCCTTCTGCTTCAACTGGGATCACAGGCATGTGCCATTACCCCTGATTAATTTTTAAATTTTTAGTAGAGATGAGGTCTCACTATGTTGCCAAGGCTGGTTTCGAATTCCTGGGCTCAAGTGATCCTCCTGCTTTGGCCCCCCAAAATGCCGGGGTTACAGGCATGAATCACCGTATGTGACCTATATAAATTGAACTGAAACACAAATTTTATGAAATAGTATTTAACTTAAATACATGCATTATACTCTGGTAGTGTTTTCTATTCTTTTTTTTTTTTGTTCGTTTTGAGACAGTGTTTCACTCTGTGCCCAGGCTGGAGTGTAGTGGTGTAGTTACAACTCACTGCAGCCTTGACTTGCGGGCTCAGGTGACCCTCTTACCACAGTCTTCCGAGTAGCTGGGACTACTATCGCGTTCCATCATGCTAGGCTAATTTTTTGTCTTTTTAGTAGAGATGAGGTTTTACTATGTTGGCCAGGCAGGTCTTGAACTCCTGACCTCAAGTGATCCACCTGCCTCGGCCTCCCAAAGTGCTGGGATTAGAAGCATGAGCTAAATGCCCAGCGTATATTTAGGGCTTTAATCCACCTGAAATTCATTTAATGTATGGTATGAACTTGTATCTATTGTTTTTTGTACCCAGTGAATAACCAGTTGCCCCAATATCATGTTTAGTACAGTCATTGACCTACAATACCACTTCTATGTATTAAGTCTCCTATTTACATAGACCTGTTCTCAGCCCTTTAGTCTATTCCATCGATTCATGTTTACTCCTGTGCTTATAATAGCACATTATTTAATTGATATTACTTTAACAGAACTGTTGATATCTGGTAAGACAGGTTTTATTTTATTTGTTATATTCTTAGACCTTTACTCTTCAATGTGAATTTTGGTATTGTTGAGTTTCTTTAAAAGTGTTTTTGGAGTTTTGAAATAAATTGTATTGAATTGGTATCTTAATGATAAAAAATTTTTGTTCATGAAAATATATCTTTGTACTTA